TATATTAGTATTTCTACATCAATGCCCCGCCTTTCCCTATGTCCCCAAATGGTCCCTAACATAGAAATAAAAAAAACTCAAAACACAGTTATAATATTTTTAGTACATCCATAAAAATACAATAACTAGCATAAAAGTTATTTTTTTATATGTTATTGTTCTTAAATCAATCAGAAATTCTACTTAAAATTAAACAGGATCGATAAGTTAGTTTATATTAAATTTTGAGTCGGTTACTGTGTTTTGATATATGATCACATTGTTTTTGTGAAAATATCAAAAATACTATAATCCTATATATATAAAAAAAAGACACTTTAAATAATAGGAATTTTTTTTATTGTCATAATAGGGTCATTTTCAGATATAGGAAAAAAGTGGGGTACTGATTGGAAAAAAAGTAACAAAAAAAAAAAAATCAAAATTAGAGGTGTTTTGACAAAATTTTACCCCATATATTTGATACAATTATATAAAATATTTTTAAAATAATACTTGGACTAAAATACCCCGTTATTTTGGACTAAATGGCATTCACGCCCACCCAGTGGCGGGCGAATACCCACAGCTTTCACATCATATATTTACCGGCATCAATTAAGATTTCCCAATCTCACGTTCTAATCAACACCACACTACTTCCGGAGATGCCTACACCATACTTCATCCCACTTTTTAGAAGGAAATTAACATAAAAGATAACCCATTTATTTAAGAAAACCCAAACAAAAATATCACAGAATTTCTTTTCTTTTTTTAAAAATATAAATAAGAAAGAAAATTCGACTAACCGCTTGGGGTGGGTCCCGCTTCGTGAAAAGGGGGGACGAACGGTGCAGATAGCCAAACTTGGTCTCCCGTCTCCCATCCCAGTCGTCGTCTCCGCCTCCTTGTCTCCAGCGTCCGATCTCCTCTTCCCCCGTCTCTCTCCCTTCCTCCCTCGCTCCTTTGTTGCCTCCCTTCGCTGCGCGCGCGCCAAATACAAAAGCCTTCTCTTCCTCCCATCCAAGCAAAGCAAAGGTACGTCCACGCCCTTTTTCTTCTTCTTTTCCTTCCCCGATTTAGGGTTTGGGTCTCCATGGATCTGTTTGGTGGTTTGTTCGTGGATCTGTCAGGGTCCCAAGCATGGCGGATGCGCCGGCTAGCCCCGGTGGTGGAGGTTGCGGCCACGAAAGCGGAGGTGACCAGAGCCCCCGATCCAGCGTCCGGGAGCAGGACCGCTTCCTCCCCATCGCCAACATCAGCCGGATCATGAAGAAGGCGCTCCCCGCCAACGCCAAGATCGCCAAGGACGCCAAGGAGACCGTCCAGGAGTGTGTCTCCGAGTTCATTAGCTTCATCACCAGCGAGTCTGATTTCGTCCCCTCCCCCTTCTCTCTTCTTGTACTTGGGATGATCCTTTTGGTTGGTTTAGTTAATTAATAGTTTGATAATTTGGTGTTCTAGGGCCAGTGATAAATGCCAGCGGGAGAAAAGAAAGACCATTAATGGCGACGATCTGCTGTGGGCGATGGCCACTCTGGGATTCGAGGACTATATCGAGCCGCTGAAATTGTATCTGCATAAGTACAGAGAGGTTCTTTTCTGTTTTCTTTTTTTCATTTGAATATTTCCTGATTAATATGTACTTGAAAATGGGTAGCTTGAGAAGAAATTACTAAGTTTGTATTTTTAAATGGCGTACTGGATCTGATGTTCCTTTCCTGTGTTTATTTTGCATGTGCTTTTGCTGCGGTGGTGTTCTGTTCCAGTTGGAGGTAAGGAGCTTCCTTCTTATTGATGCTATATGTGGTTGTTTGATGTTGTTAGGACAGAATTTAGTGCTGCAAGTATTTGCTTCTTTGTTTAATGAAACAATTCTAAACTTACATTTGATAAGGTATACTTTTTCAATATATTTAACTCTATTAACTTAATGACAGGCAAAAACTAGATGAATTTCAATTGCCAAGCAATGTTGGGAGAGCAACATGCTATCCTAGCAGCTAGGGCAATGCATAGTGCATATGTGGCACATATGGTTTGTATCAAAACACTAAAAATTGCCATCACGTACAAACGAAAAATAAAGGAGTGGCCTACTGCATGAAGCTTCTTCTTCTGATTGGTTTAGGGAGGGTCTATCTAGATTAAAAAAATAAATATATTTTATGGCCGAACAATTAACTTATGCATTGTTTCACTCTTTAAGAAGTTATCAGTGTAATAAGTTTTAAGAAATATAGAAGTCCATTTGACTAAGGTTATATATTATTATTGCAATATTAAATGCAATATAAGAGAATAATACATGATCACATTTTTATACCTATAGGGACTGCATAAGGGCCCACGTAAGTTAGAGCTACATATGCAGGTTACGTAGTCTTATCTGTAGTTGCACGTCCTATTCAAGTCACATGAGTCTTGTGGGATGCATTCATATGATGAAGTGTGCATTTGTGCCTGCATAAACGACCACATAAACTGCTTTTTTTCAAACGGTGCTGGCAAGTTTACGATAACAACAATAAAGCTGTGAGGCCTAACACAGTGCTGGCAAGTTTAGTTTTAAAAGATTTGATATCGAAGTTATCTGTGCATATAATAAGTATAAGCTGTATACACAATTACACAACATATTCAAGCCACAATTGTATGTGATGTGTTCATATGGCAGTATGCATATGAGGCCATGCAAAAGCTTTTTTTTTTCCCTAAATATTGCTGACAAGGGATAATTCATGTTATCTAGATCCAACTGTAAATATAATAAGTAATTATTTATATTCACAATTAAATTAGGTATATGTGTTTGATATGCATTTGGCTTAGTAATATAACCATGCCAAATGAATTCAGCATAATTTTGGCCAAATTCTTTATCAGCTTTATGGTACATCAATATGATATTAACATACATTCATTACTATTGATATAATTATTAAAATATGGCATCAATGGCTTATTGAGATTATGTTTTTACTCACATCAAAACCCATTGATGAAAAGCATGTGTTGCTTTGCATATACCAGTAGATGAGTGTCATATCCATTGCCTCTTCACCTATGATAGATAAAAGTATATTCTCCATATTGCTTGAAATTGGACTTGTTATGATCATACCATGAACATTTTAGTCTTGTGAAGTTCCTGTAACAGCTCTTTCTTTTTTTCTATAAATTTTTTAATTGTGTTGACAGGGTGACAATAAGGTGTCTGCCAAAGGTGGAGACAGCTCTGTTAAACAGGATACAGCTAGTTCTCATGGTGGAACTCAACCCGGTCCAATATCCCAAGGGGTAGTACTGATTTTTCTTTTAATTTGCATTTGACATTAGATCTGGAAATTTCCTGATACTGGTTCCACAATTTAACATATTTCTCAATGACATAAATAGATGGGTCACCAAGGAACTTTTACTCAAGGCATGAGCTATTTGCAACCTCAGGTACTTTACTTTTTTTTTCTGTTCTTAGTGAGAACTTCAGATGATTTCAATGTACTTTTCAGATTCATGCTGTTGCATTAAACTGAAAGATTTTAGTTCTTTTTTTGTTACATGATTTTCATCGTTTTAGTTGTTACTAAACTAGATTAAGATCATTCTTGTTTTTCCGTAGCACTTAATGCCTTTCCTGAAGGGACTTGTTTTAATTTGTCATATGACTGATATATATTCTTACATACAGAATTACATTTATAACTATATAGGTATATGTTTGCTATTTGTTTGTATTTGGAGGCTAATGGATCTAAAATCATCAATGTGCTAACTGCCCCTGATCAATGTCAATTTACATGGTGCCAAATGAGTAAATTTGAATAAATTTATTATCTTATAAATGCCCACTGGTTTTTGGCTTGAATTTTAGGTACCAAACCTTCTGGTATAACTCTCTCAGGGAAAACAGTTATAACCATTTAAAGGACTGATATTCAACTTCTTCCTGTCTTCTTTTAAATAATTCTTGATAAGTTCATCTTTTTGATCTTATAGCAACTGTTGTGATTTTCTTTTACTATTTTAGGTTCACTTGCTTAAAATAGGTGTTGTTATGCAGTTTTGAGCATACTGTTGTTTATATTAGTAATCACTTATGAACTTTCTCCAACATTATAGAGAAGATTTTTAGTGTTTTAGCATGAATTGCCTTGTGGCCCCATTCAAACATGGTGCCATTCCATGGTTCTGCATTTTTTTTTCATTTTTAACTAGATTTACACTGGAGTATCTGAAAAGAAGCAATGAGTTAATTATGCAACTAATGGAAGTGTATGCAAGCTTTATCCCACCTTTTTCTTAAAATTTACCATCTTATGGGGAAACATTGAGATGATTTTCATGAGAAACTTCATCTTATGTCAAAAACATATAGTGCATTGTTTGTTGGTTCTTTGAATCAAGAGGAATTCATCTTGTATCGGAGATAAATGACAAAAAATGCTTGAAGCTATAAATGTTAAAACTCTAAGGATTAATGTGGTTTCAATTAACATTAGTGTGACTTGTTTGTTTGTAAATGGATTCTAAACACATTTGGGACCTTTTTTGAGTTAATTATTTTTTTGAAATTGGCCCATTTATGTCACAAAAATTATAAGAGACTAGCAGTAGAAGGTTCCTCTTGATGTTTCTGAGGTACTAGTTTATCTGCCTGTAGGAGCAATTTGTTCACAGTAAATTTATTTGCTATAAGGATACATTGAAGATGCCAATCAATGTGGTGAGGACTCTTCAAACTGGGATTGTCTAGCTTGAAGATTATCATAATTAGGTTTGATCATTATGAACTATCGAGTGTGTTAACAAATATATATTGTCATATCTGCTTACTGCAGAGCATTGTGCACTCATTTGAGAGCAAATAGGTGCAATTAATACGACTACCGACATGCAAGGATGTGGAAAGAGTATTGTAAATCGTGCAATCATTGCCAGGTGCAATGATGCTAAGGCCTAGTAATATGATGGTGGGGCTATCAATACTTCTCATGGCAGCCTTGCTCATATAATTGAAGATCGTAGCCTTGCCTCAGTTCTACAACAGGCTTTGTTGTTTGTAGCACCTCCAGGGATACTTGTGATAATGATGGTTGCAACAAATTTAGGATTCTGTTCAATATGGATTATTTTTTTTATGGCTTTTAAGGAGGAATTCACCAACTTATATACTTATTGATGTAAGCCACTGTTCTTATGATGCCCTTGGGCATAGTTGTGGCATCCTCATGCCATGACAATGTTATAGTTGTTGATCATGTAGCTCCCATTCTCCCTCTGTCTCTAAGGCGATATTGTAGTTCCCCTTCTCTTGTTTCTATATTGATCACCTTACTAGGACAAGGGTAATAGATTCCTACTAGATTACTAATTATAATGGTGTTCCTCGGAAATTAATTTAAAGTCCCCCTAAAATCTTTGGAAAAAACGAAATCACTGAGAAGTAAGGTTTGCTTCCCATGTGGCTCTAATATTTTTAGTACAGATTTTTGGATCATCTCAAAAGAACATCTGTAGAATAGTCCTGCTATTGAATCCCAATTTCACCATTTATCAATCACAAAATATCTTATAGAAGTCATAAGAAAATAAATGTTATGCTCTCTTATTTAGGTAAAATTGGAGTTTTCTGATATCCAGAGTATATATTTCTTGCTTCCCCTAAAGCTTGAGAAGGCTGAAAGATATGTATTCCTATTTTCCTAAATTTATGGATTTAGGAAAACTTGTCACTTTATGATAACTAGTTTTAAGGCTTTCATTGTTTAAAATGTCTCTTCTCTTTGCATTTCTTTTTCTTTCTTTTTTCTCTTTACTTTTTTTGTTATTTCTTTTCCTGTTTTATTGACATTAAGACCATTGTAGAATGTATGATAGTGCAAAACGAACAATTTATGTTAAAATATAAGAATTTTATAAGAACCGGGATTTATCAATCTAATTAAAGATTAAAATAAAGTTATCCATATTAACAGTCCAAATAGAAAAGTGTCATGGGTGATTCTCACTTTGATTATTCAAAAAGTTTCAACAAGTCAAGGGAGTTATTGTGCATTGGCAAGGGAGAAGCTGGTTGCAAAGAAAAAGAAGTGCAAGAATCGAGAACTAATGCACTAGACTCTTAAGTTCCCGTGAAAATTTGTTAGGTTAAAATTATGACATTTGTGGTTGTTTTGACGAGATATAAATAAATAAATAAATAAATAAATAAATAAATAAATAAATAAATATATATATATATACATATA